CCCCACGACGCCGCCGGCACAGATAGACAGGTCACCGCGAGCGATACAGAGCCGGTTTGCCCGTTGCTGATATGCTTTTCGCAGGGGATCTGCGGAAGGGGTGTGGTGAGTCACTGGTGACCGACGTATCGCCGTTGTCGTCGGTGTAAACATATCAAAGCGGTAGTTATCGAACTTCAGTACCCGGTCAGCGGACGGCACGTTAGCGTATATCGGGGCCGGATTTGGAAAACCTGCAGGAGTTCGTTGATATAAGGAAATGCGGACATTCATAGTGACCTCGAGGCAGTAACGAACTTACGATAAATATTATCTTCCCGTTATTTTGCAACTCTGTTGCGTTCAGATTGCGAATGGATAACTTTATAATCTGAGTGATTTTATAATCTGAGTTTGTTAGTAAGTAACCATATAATGTGAGTTGGGCCTTATTCTGGACGCGATGTTTGCAAAATTAAAGCGACGATTTTGCTCTTCTGACACTTAAGAAGCTTGTCATCATCTGCTAAAAAAAATGACAATTACCGCACCCAGCACACACGAAGCTAATACATGAACACGAGCTCTAAAGTCGTATACACTAGCCAAATTACAACATTTATTATATTATTCGAGTGAATTTTGTAATGAGCATACGGTTTAAATTCACCAGTTAGTAACTGGTAAGCCTAGTTAGGTTTAGCATTCTCTTCAATGAATCCGCAACACAGCTAGCGAAATTGCAAAGGAAATTACTGTAGTACTGCAGATAATGTACTGGTGTAAAATACGAACAACCCAACCTAACAAAAACCAGAGTTGGACTCCTTGCGCAAAACTCATTTAGCCTTCGCGTGGGTGGAGATGGGTGGGCGGGCGCCGAACGGATACAATATAGTTGCCGTGGAAGTGGGGCACTGGAGATGGACTGACCAGCCGGGTAGAAGAAAGAAACGAGCTGGTGCGGTGGTACTGCTACTTCGTACCTATAGGGTATGGGCTACAGCGATGGAAATTTGTATCTCCTACGTATCTGCCTGCAAAGAAAATAGAAATAATATTCCGAGCCAACAGTAACAGTTAGTGCTCCTAGCGTCGGGAAACGATGCACTCAAACACCTACAGAATGTATGCACTTTAAATATTATACGCGTGGTGCCAGTGTGCTTTCGAAGTTTGGCATCTTACATTAATAATTTATTAATTCCTGTATGGCACATTAGTTGTTGTATTTAATTCATGCATGATGCATCCTTCCCAACAGTGTATGTTAATGCGCAATTCTAGCTATGGAAACCCGTGTTTTGTTTTGTGTAAGGAATACAGCGGCGCGGAGATTGCACGAAATTATACTTAATAGTACTTTATCAATTTTTTAAAATTATTGTGGGCAGATAATATTTGCTCGCAAGGGGACCTGAACCAGAAAGAACAGTTTTGGCAGAAAAATTTTTGCGGTCCCCATGGGCGCCCGGATTCGCACGTACTTCCTCGATACGAATAAGCACACAAGAATATTACAATAAGCGCACATATCTACTAATCTGCATATGTAGAGTCTAAAGCTAGAATAGCGCTTAAACATAATTATTATTATCCAGCAAATTGTCCACTAAAGCCCACACATATAGCTCGCTACTAACAAAGGGACGTACCTATGCCGTATGTCGCAATAAGCACAAATATTTTTTGGGGCCGAGAATTAATTCGACATTTCGTTGCGCTTGTTAATTTGTGTGGATTACAGTGGATATGATCATATGAACGAACTGATCGCGCTGAAATCCTGAAGGCGTCATATTTACTCCACCGCGGGCCGTCGTCAAAGGGGACTTTTCCAAGTGGAACACGCCGTTGCCCAGTGGCTTGGACGGTCGGGTTGTTAGACAGCACCTTGATCGTTTAAATTTGGAACTGATGAGACGGATCTTTAGGTCGACGTGTGCTCCGTTCTGCTGTGTCGACATTGCGGTTGGGCGCGTAAGGTGTATTGAACGCTTTGCACAAGATGAGATTAGGGACAACGGCCCGATGGAGACGGCCCTGTATGACTGTCTGCAGGTAAGATAGACCGCAATTTCTTGCCGGGTACACTTCCCTTAATAACGCAAAGTCGTAGGTGTACAGGTCAGTGCAGGGCCATAGCGAGGGGCCGAGCGTTGGGGGTGCGCAACGGCCCAGAAATGGCTGCGCACCCCCCAAGGACAATTGCGCCCGTAAACTCGTGACTGTCAATTATAAGGCAAAAAACGCTTTGAACCGGGGAGGGGGGTGGGTGCGCCCGTGCGCACCCCCTGGGTCAGCGTAACCCATTTTAATTTGTGGTTCGCTCCGTCTTTGCAGAAATTTTTGGGCAATGAGCCGCAATCTGTAGGGCCACAACTCCCCATGTCCAAGCGATGCCACAGGGATGCCGCCCCGCACAACGACATTCCCATGGGTGAATTCAGTGCGCTGTCGGTGGACGTGTGGGTGGAGTTGTTTTCCCCACCTGGACACGTGGGAACAGAACCGGCTGCGCGCGGTGCACCCTGCCTGGAATGCCATGCTGGACTCGCCGGTCTTGACTGCCCAGATCGTTCTGACGCCGGGGGACAGCGGTACATCCAGCATCTCGCGTGCTGGTCTGCACTCCATGATGTCGACGGTCTTCCACTGTCTGCGCCCCTCCACAAAGTACATTCTGCTGACCGCCGGCGCCGGGCAACGGGAGCTTCCTGTGAAAGATCTCTTCAAACTGGTGGATTTGATCAATTAGGTTGCGAAGCACCACACCGGGATGCGGTTGTCAGCGATGTAGCTGGTGAAATTTCGGTGCCGATTCTTGTGTCGCAAGAACCTTTACAGTGGGTGCCAGCTGCATCCAGTCCCTCGCAAAAGTCTCTACGGCGCGACCAGGAATGAGAATCTCCTCAAAGATTTCATCGGAGCGTGTAGTTCTCTTCCAGGCCGGGTGTGCAGTCCATCTGGTCGTAGAGAAGGGAGAATGTTATATCTTCGTAACGCCCACCTTATCGCCGCATGTCGTGACGTCGCGGCTGCCGTTGGGTGAGGCTTTTGAATGTGCGCTGTGGGATGCGTTGGATGGGAATGCGGCCGTGCCGGACCAGCAACAGTTGGATACGCTGTCCAAATGGTTGACGGAAGATAATAGCAAACGCTCCGGCCCGGTAAGGCTTTCTAATCGTTACTAAAGAGTAATCGGGCGTATTTCGACAGATCTATACTTCTATATGCACAGTACAGTAGTTTCAGGAAACGATTCTGGTTACGATACAGCAACTCCACCGTATCTGTAGGCGACAGCTCCCTCGTGCGGTTCAGCAACCATACCAAAACGATGCTTTTAAAGTATCGAAATTAGAACATCCTGTTTATTCAGAGCTCGAGGGAGCAATTGACTGTTCAGTGTTCTGGTTGGAAAGGGATACAAGGTCACGAATCAGCTGATTACGACTACCAGAGACGAAAAACACTAGATCACTGTGCGGCCAGCTAGCTGGCTTAAATATTCACTAGAACGTTTCGTACAAACGAAACACGAGCGAAAACTGAAATCAGGACTAGAAATAAATAGCTAAGCCAGCTTCCGATGGTGCGCGCAGTTTATATAATATGCTGTGTACTTGGTAAGCTGGTCAGAACAGTTAGACGCAACCTAGTGAACCGCTTCGACAACATTCTTCCGCTTTCCGTAGCAGAATTAGGTCGCTTAGAAATTGTGACCCTACTGATGCACGGACGTCGCGAAGTACAGATCACAGAACTGCTGTCTGGTTTGCAGATTTTGTGTCAGACGCAGACAGCGGATCCGCGACCGTCGTCCAATTTCCGCGAGAAGAAATGGTGCGATGGCATGCATGGTGGGTGGAAGGACGTTAAATGGGAACAACTGTCCCATGTCGCGCTGCATTCCCTGATTCAGCTGATGGAAGAGAAAGAAAAACAAAGAAATCTACGAGAACTAGAGGAACAGCAAAGAGAAAGAAAAGAAGATAACTTAAGAAAACGTATGAAAACTTAGATGTCTCTTGGTTCCATGATATCCGTCGTGTCGGAATGTGTGATCCGGACGCACAACGTCTTGCATCTCACGTGACGAGTAGTTTTTATATTTTGTAGGATAAATCGAATTACATTTGGTTTTGTTGCTCTCTCCATGAGTCATGACATAAGAACGTTTCTGCTGTTACTCTGCTGTCAGTGTTGTGGCAGGTGGATGCTTTTGTGAAAATCTGCGACAGTAGTGAAATTACTTAGCTTGTAATGGTGTGGAATTAATAAAAGGAAACTGTAACCGAGGAAAAAAATATAAAATACATACAACGAGAAAAAATGAAAAAAATTGTAAAAAAGGTAATAAAATTCATAAATGAGATCGAAGAGACTCCCCGGCGAGACAACAGTGAAGAAATCTGGAGAATGCTGGTTAAATCTGGCATTATCTGGCCACTCGGTGTAAAATGTGAATGCGGTTTAAAGGGAAGGAATGCCTCGTCAAAGCTTTACTTCCGTTTCCTATCGGTTAACATTGATATGATCTGAGTTGGATACTCCGCCAGTTCGTTGAAGAATTCATCGACTGTCACCGGCTCGAACACGTGTTAACCCGTACCGGAAGTCAAGCTGCCGTTCTGCTAAGCCGCTTTAATTTTCTGAGGGATTATTATAAAGTTTCCTTTTCTATTTCTTCTATTATTCTTCGTGAATTTCTGTGGTTTTTAGTTTTGTTAGGGTTTTCTTACTGTTAGTTGATTTAAATTTTCGTCGAATTTGTTTACATTTTTTGCCACCTCGTCTTCGTGATGGTCGAATTCGAGTGGGCGACCGCGCGACCTTGTGACGGATGACGAACTGTTGGTCGACAATCGACATAATGTCGATAAGCCATCGCTGATGAGCCGCTCCGTCCATCGCTGGAAGCAGACGTTCTGCGGCTGTATGCACGCAAGTAAATGCTCTTGACCTTTCGAAGGCTTATACCCGATCAGTTGCAACAGTATCCCGGAGTTGTTTCACTTTCAATGTACAGTACGCGTTCACGAGACACGCAATAAAACAAATCTAGGTCAAGAGCAAGCTTGGTTTTTTATACGAGCCGTAGTATGGATCTGCTGCTATTAACATAAACATGTAGATGCAGCACGACCACGTACAGTACAAACAAAAACCGCGATTGGCCACAAAAACAGACCGTTGTTTTCAAAACTGTACGCTTTGTATTTTGTTACACCAGACCGCATACAAATTACGGCCGTGATACACCAGCTATCATTATGCGGGTTTCGGCAGGAACTTGGGATGCACCCCGTTGTTCAGCACCCCAATGTCCGCCAGCTTGAAGCCCCGTTTGCCCTTGGAGTTGTTGGTAACCTCGTTGCTGGAGGCGTCATCCGACGGGAACACACAGCACAAGTCATTCTTGCCGACCGTGCCGGTGCCGCCGGTACAGACCGGTGATTCCCCCACGATGCCGCCGGAACAGACGGACAGGTCATTGCGGGCGATACAGAAGCCGGTTTGGCCGTTGCTGTTCTGCTGTTCACAGGGGATCTGCGGAATGGATGTGGTGTCGGACGTTTCGCCGTTGCTGGTGTAGAACTCCGTCAGGCGGTAGTCATCGAAGTGCAGCACCCGGTTTGCTGACGCCAAGTCAGCGTATATCGGGGGATTGGGGAAGTCTGCAGCAGTTAATTGATAACCGACTTTCGTTAAGGGTAGCGGCCAATCATCGTGATCGCTGCAGTTACGAAGTTACGAGCTGAAAATAGGGATCGCTTTCCCCTTTATTTCGCCGCCATGAAAGACTCACAGTTTAGATTTGCGAATACCTGCCTAAATTTATAATTTGTGAATCCAGTTATCTGTAACTAGGTGAGCATCATTGCTCGTTTATAGGACGCGATTTTTGGGAAATCAAAGTGGCGCAGTTCAGTACTTTTACAGCAATCAATAATTTTGTGATTATTACGCTCAAGTTATTACGAACAGCATAATTATATTTGTTCTTGTTTACATTCTTATTACGTTTGCGGCTAAGTTGAAAACGTTACAGAAGGCGATTACGTGCGCAAGTCCTTGGCACTCCTTGCTTTCCTTTTTCCGACGATTGTATACATCTGTATTTGAAAATTTAATTTGCATATGTAAGTTTTGGTTTCATGCATCGACCCCATCGCGATCGCCTCCCTTCCTTTTTCGTATAGTACCAATAACTTATCGCAGTGATGTGATATTCCACTCATTAAATTCGCAGCACAGCTGGCGCAATCCTGAACGAAATAAGTACAACATGTAATGTACTGGCAGTGGCCGACGATACAAACGCCACACCATCTACAAAACAAAAACCAAAGTTGGATTCCTTGCGCAAACTTACTTAGCCTCCGTCCCACAAACATTTGGGGTATGGTCATGTAAGGTACAGCCGGAAACATTGGATAGGTTGATAACGGTTCAAAACACCACAGACAAACACACAGCAAACCGTATACAAATCCGTATAACTTCGACATTCTTCAGAAATCATGCAGTAAATTCAGTAAAAGTCATGTATGGCACAGTAATATCTTGTTTACAACTGCTTCGCTCTTTGATATTACGATGTAACTTTAATCAGGACTAGGTGGTATACACTGTGCCGCTGCGTTCGTCGGACCATAGTACTCGTACGATTCACCGAGCGGTTCCGATCTCGCATGCAACATCGCCCGAAGTCAAACTTCTTCTTGATCTTCACAAGAACATATGCCATTTTCACATGGCAGTGTGTGTTCTTGTAGCCGGAACGGCTAATTGAATACAAATGCGCTTAATCAAGGTGCGCATACGAGTACCTATGTGACGGCGCCCCTGCCGACCATTCCACGTGGCAACTGCCAGTTGTCATTGAACAGAAATCATGATCAAAACCGTCATGGACATGCCGGCATCGTTCAGCTTACTAGCCACCACAACACAAATTTTGACGATATGGTTTTGGTAAATATCATGTATAATTACTGCCTTGCGCATTATTTAATAGAGCAGCAGCGGCAAATAAGCACTTCAATATAGTGAACACTATCTCGTGCGTTATATGCTTACGCCAACAACCATGATCTATCTAGGCCTTTTCCAGACAATATATTTTTTCGTGTTTTGAGTACCATGTTTGGTCAAGCAGCGCGCCCCTAACCAGGCGTCACACGCACAACATGAGTGTCTAATTTTCCGCTTCAATAAGCGTTACGTTGTTGAAGAGCAGTCTGGATAAACTCATCAGAGCGGTAATCAAATAAACCGCGACAATCGTCGCCGTTGCGTGATACCTGTACAATGTGCTCCGCCTGGCTGTATGATTAATAGATAGACACGACGGTCTTCCTGCAGCTGATCATCCCCCAGCGCATCCGTGTGCTCCCGTGCGTATTCCCAGGTTTTTCTGCTGGGTCACTACCAGCCTGCGTGTAACAGCCTTACTACGATTTAAACACCTGTCCCTATTTTTATCCATTTCTTTACCTTACAGAAGAAATGCTACCTTGCAAATGAAAAAGTCACCAGATATTTACGTGAAACAAAACTTATTTAAATCGGCCATTTTCGAGCCGGCATTTCTTCGAGCGATTTTCATCCCATGATCAATGGTTTGGTGTTCCGCATGGATGGTTTTATCAATAATGATCCAGATGAGCGAATTCAAAAGGAAATCCATATAAAACAGTATCTGATTACTCCTTTCGCGCCCTGACGACCAAAGCGTAAAGGAGAAAATCCAGGAAACTCGGCTATCATTGTTACAACCGCGGCATCCCCGTCAATCACGTTACGTTGGCACCGGGAAAAGAATTGATCACATCTTTATTATCCATCACTAAACAACCCAATTATATAACTTCCTCTGACATTTCGCAACATCAGAAGACGCGCGTGGGATGAGTTCACCGATCCGTTGTACCTGGATACAAATTATTTATAAATATTTGCCGTTTGTTAAAGGACACTTCCAGGCATAATTTAATAAGCGCCGGCATGTGACATGCCTCTTCCTGCGCCGATTATAAAAATCCCGATGGAATCCATAATCTGAGTGCATTTTTCCAGATTTTCTTCGCATCTTCCCAAGAAAATGAATTTTTCCAACGTGACCTTTCCAGATTTCGACGATGATGATTACAAGAACTGGGATTTTCTCCCGATTATCCAGATTGTTACGTCGGTCGCGGCGTTCTTCTTCAACGCCGCGGTGTTATGTTGCTATACGTTGTACCGGCGTCTACGGACACCGTTTTCCATTTATTTGATGGCGTTGTGCGTGGCGAACCTGGCGCACACCATCTTCGCGTCGCCCATTGATATTCTCAAGATGGTTCATCCGACTTATGTTCTCGGTCCACGCACGTGTAATTTTTACGTTTATGCAGCGTACAACACCGCCGGTACGACGCTGAACCTGCATCTGTTGATTTCGCTGAACCGCATCTGGGCGATGGCGCATCCGTTCTCCTACCGGACTAAACACACTACGCGGATTGCGGCGGCAGCGTGTCTGACCGTGACGGCGTATGTGCATTTGATCTGTGTGCCGGGGATTGTGCAGGATTCGTTGTATTATCGGATACCCGGCACGTGCTTCATTAATGGCACGGCACAACCGAGATGGACGGTGTTCATGCAGGTGCGCATCATGTGAACAACAGTTTTATTTAGCCACTTATCGGTGCAGTCTATCTTGTCATTAATCACTTTATTGGAAGACGCATCTGGTCAAATTAATTTTTATTTATTTCACTAAATTCTGGAAAATTCCCGTTATAATGGAGAAAAATTAAAGTATAAATATTGACATTATGAAGCAATTTAATTAAATAATGACAATAATTTTTCGTGTCGTTTGCAAAAATAAGTAATCAAATAACTGGCTAGCCTATAAAGTCAAAATAATTAGGTAACTCGTGTGTTCTAATTTAGAACTTCTAAATATCCTAAAAATTGCAAAATTTGACGTTTTTTGCATTCCGGACATTTCATAATGTGGATTCCCGTGCTGCATGGACACCAGCGATATGTTATTTTGTGCCTTTTTCCCCATTAGAAAAACTTGATAAGTTTTTATTAATCTTGTTTACCAGCTTGCATATAAACATTAATTACAGCACTACGTAAACAACATTTGAAAAGTGCGGATTGCGGAACAACGCGGAGAAATACTGTGTTAGTTGTCCGGTACGTGAATCCACACTGTGTCCAGATTGCAAAGAACGCCGAAGTATTGATTACCAATAGGGCCCACTCTGATTGTCTTTCTTCACGTTTTATCGATGTGTAAACGTTGCCGTAAATCCCATTGACAAAGTTGTACACAATCCTTAATTACAGATTGTGATATTCTCCCTGCCGATCATCTGCATTGCCATATTCTACCCGTTCATCACCTGGAAGCACTGCCAGCGCGGCAAACTGCACCCCCACGAGCGCACCGAAGTGCACAGCGTCGACCATGCCCAGCGCCGCACCACCATCCTCCCACGCAGCGCCGTGCTGAGCGTGGCGCCGGTACCGGTCCTGCAGCAGCAGCAATCCCGGCGGGAATCCATGTCCCGAGCCTTCGTGGTGCTGACCCTCTTGACCATCAGCCTGATCATCTGCGAGGCGCCCATCAACACCTTCTTCCTCATTATGACGGTGGCGCCCCAAGCCCTTCCTATGTTAGAGACGGTGGGCGTGGTCCTGTACTCCCTGCAGCCGGCCATGGATCCGCTGCTGTTTATCGTGTCGTTTCGGGATCTGCGCCGGCAGCTGTTCCGGATGCTGCTTTGTCGATAATCGATCGTTTAATATTTTTATTGCCGTAGTAGTACTGTATGTCAGTGCACAATGATTTATTGATGGTTGTAATTCCATCCCGGAAGTGCAAGAAACAAATCTTTATTGGTATAGTCAATTCTGTAGTTATGCTTTTCTCTCTCGTACGCACAACTGCTGTGGTTTTTTTAAATATTCCGAGTGCATGGAGTGAAATAGCTTACCGAGTACACAAAGTATGAATGGAATGAAGACCCGGTCAAAAGATCGTGGGATCGTGCCGAATGTCTTGATTCTGTAAATAATTCTCTGCACCGGCAACGCGACATTTTGCCGCCGACAACTCGTCGCAGGACTTTTGGTCGCAGACAATTCGCCGCAAGGTCATCTCGCCTTGCGACGCTTCGTCGCCGGACATTTAAACGGCAGGAAATTACGCCGCGAGACATTTCGTCTTCCGGCCGTTTCGACGCCGAGACATTTCGCCGCAGGGCTGTTTTGACGAAAAGTCCATTTTAGCAGGAAAACATTTAAAATACGAAGGCTAAAAACCATAAGAAAACCCTAAGAAGCCTAAGAATAACCTAAGAAACCTAAGAATAACCTAAGAAACCTAAGAATAGCCTAACAATTGTAAGAATAACCTAAGGCTAACCTAAGAATAGCCTTAGAACAGCTTAAGAAGCCCAAAAGACTTAAGAAAACGTCCCAAGAAACCCGGAAAACCTGCAAAAATTAAGCGTGTCAAATGCTTCTGCGGCGAAGTGTCCGCGACCAGACGTCTTGCGTCAAAATGTCATAAAGTCAAAGTGTCTCAATGCTGATTGTCCCTAACCGAAGTGTCCCAGCGTCAAAATGTCCCGCGGCAAAATTTCTTCGCGGCGAAAAGTCGTGCGTCGAATTTAATTGCGGCGAAATGTCACACTCCCAATTGTACGGGTGCGCAAAAGGCACTGTCATGTGTATATGTCCGCCAAACTCGAAATATTTATCTGATTTCGCTGTTTGCTTGCTTCTTAAAATTTGCATGGCACCGGGTAATCTGCACTTTAATATGAAAGTTAATAAAAACACTGCAGCGTAGTGGTAGTTAGCAAACGCCGCTGATTACACAGACGTTTCGTGTACTTGGTCGAAGAGGTACTTTGTAGTTTAAACTGGGCGTCTGCAAACAACGCTATCATGCGAATGCCAACATTTTATTATTTGTTTTGTAATAACCGATACGTGCAAAACCGAAAACAAAAATTATTTTACCCTTAATGTTAGTAAACTAGCGACGTACATTCAGTTATCGAGCGGCCTTTACTAGTTCTGATACTCGCATACTGCAACGATAACATTTTATAGGATTTGGTGTCTTTTTCATTATGCGAAGCTGGTCCCTGTACAATATATTGAATAAATTATTTGTATTCATTAATTTTTCAATGTAACATTACGCTACAATGTTCCTGGTTATTAATCTTAATAGCCACAACCACAAAACATACGTCGCCAATGGCTGTCAACATCCTTAAGAATTTTTAGGATGGGTGTCGGTGAAAAACAAGAATAATAAAAACGCAAACCAGCAATGGGTGCTTCTGCTGCACACTGTCTTCGATAAGAATGCCGGTCACGCTTGCGAAATACTGTACCGATGCGGCATGTATGCATCTCTAATTGTAAGGAGACTTTATTACGTTAAACACGCGCCGCCAGTGCACGTTCAGAATTACACACAACGCTTGTTGAAAAAATGCCAATTCTAACAAATAACGTACACAATAAAACACACAAAAGTATATGTCTTTTATCTGCACATTAGTGAGAATGTTTGATATTTACATAGCTGTGCAATGTAAGCGCAGATATCACAGTGAAACCGCATCGATCATTGCCACACAGAAGCATTGAGATCAATAATTTAAGAATAATTTTGTAGCAGGTCGCTCGTGTTGATTTTATGGTAGAACTTAATCTTCCAGATATAACGCGGGGCCATATGGGCGCCACGCGTATCCTCGACAGCGAACAGCGTGAACCCGGATGAGGCTTTATTGCCGAATCTAATGCGCACCGTGGCGCAGCAACACCAAAACTAATGAGGAAGGATCCTGCAGCCAGTGCAACTGTGCTGCAGGTCCGTCAAAACAGCGCAGCAATGTGCGGGGGGGAAATCCCCAGAAACAGCGAATAGCTACTCAGGAGGGCGGGGCGTCCCGCCCTTACACCCCTTTTGCAGGCATCGCTACGTCCTCGGAGCGAAATCTCCCAGGATTCGGAGGATCCGCACCCCCCCGCCGGTTCGGCTCATGTTGGGTTCCGGGTCAGTTCGGTCCGGTTCGGGCGGTTAATCCGGTCGGCTCGGTTCCAGTTTGGTCGGCTCAAATCCGGTTCGGCTCAGGTTGGGTTCCGGGTCAGGTCGGCTCCGGTTCGGTCCGAGTCAACCGTCTGGGTCAACGCACTGTCGCGCCAGATCCAGGGTCCAACCCGGAAACGGGTGAATTCCGTAGTTTCTTCAGCAAAGGAAAGGTCACGTTCTGGGGAAATTTGGGCAGGGGTTTGGGGTCTATGTGGCCCGTGACCCCTGCAAAAAAACAAAGCACGCAAATCCGCGGTGAAATCCACTGCTCCGTCCGGGGGGATGTCGCCGTCCCAGGAAGTTCGGGCAGTGTTTTGGTGGGGGAATTCTTCGGCGTGGTGCTGGTGGTCGATCCGTGCCGTTGGGATCGGAGTTGGTGCTGCTGTTGGCGGTGTATCCGTTATGGTTTCCCGCTGGTCCGGGTCGCGTTCGCCGTCGGCATCGCAGGAGGCAATTCTCGCTCCACGGCATCGCAGGAGGCGTTTCTGCCCGCGGCATCTCCGTCCAGTTTGGGAGGCATGTCGTCGCGGGAGGCGTCCATCTCCGTCAGTTGGGAGAGGAATCCGTCACGTTCCGCGAGAATGGGGGGCGTTTGTAGCTCCACACCCAGGGGTTAAATTGGCTCAAATATCAGAGGAGCGTGCGCGGGCAGCGTGCACGGCCTGGCTCGTAACCAACGATCTGCTACCATATAACGCGGGGCCATATGGGCGCCACGCGTATCCTCGACAGCGAACAGCGTGAACCCGGATGAGGCTTTATTGCCGAATCTAATGCGCACCGTGGCGCAGCAACACCAAAACTAATGAGGAAGGATCCTGCAGCCAGTGCAACTGTGCTGCAGGTCCGTCAAAACAGCGCAGCAATGTGCGGGGGGGAAATCCCCAGAAACAGCGAATAGCTACTCAGGAGGGCGGGGCGTCCCGCCCTTACACAGAAGCTCTTGTAAAACTGTTGCCGCAACCAGTAGCCCGCCCAAAAACAGGGTTTCTCCGCTGTCTTCCTCGTCCCGTCCTCCCGATTCTGATACAACATTGCCGGGTAAATGGTCCGGTGTACCGGCACCGGTCGTCCAGCGCCGGCTGTTAACCACGCTCTCGATCCAACGGGCATAATAGCTGACCTTTGTAAAGGCGTCCGCAGTGTGCAGGTAGCAGTGTACAAAACAAACGATCACATTGAGATTTAGGCGTTACAGTAGGCTTTTGAATTTTGAAAGTAGAGATCCTTTATGTTCATCTTTCTGCTATACCTGTCAACTCCGTGGCTGGTAATGCCAACCAGATAATCTCCATCAAGGCGTCGATTAACCAAGGGTCCTCCACTATCACCCTGCATTAAGAACCATGATTTTCTTCTGTATTTGGATACACCCATTCAAGCAACAAGAACGAGTAGCCACGGTAAACTATTCTCTGTAAATCAAGAAGCGATCAAGTATTGGCAATGTCACGATGCATATATACGTAGCAGGTCCCCGACATGACATTGTCCGTGCAGATCTGGCTGCTGGGGATACGCCGACTCAGCGCCCGACGACAGGTGGCGCGCGCAACATGATTCACCGTGCGCAGCGAACGGGACGGCGCGCCCGATGTCGTTCCGGAACGGGTCAATCCCCAGCCGGCAGTCTGCAGCTTCTGGCCAATAGGAGGTGTGGCGTTGGCCGGCGGCAGCCGAACGGTAGCGACATTAGGCATACTGGCAGCACTGCGCTGCAAGCGCACCAGCGCAATGTCGTTCTCCAAGGTGTCCTCATCGTAATCCGGATGGACGATTACGTGATCGACTCTTATGATGTTCGATGAACGCGCATCCGATAGATGGCGAAATCCCACTGCCACGCTCAGGGAATCGGCATCCTTCACAAACCCACTGCAAAACTGTTATGTTAAAATCAGCTACGTCCAAATTTGAGTTTGCTAAACGCAATGCGCTGGACACGGAATGAATTACAAAATGGTTTGGCGGCACCCTAAATTTAATTTAATTTAATTGCAATCAGAGCAGGTAGCCCATTTCCGGCTAGGTAGGCTGAAGGAAAGAAGTGTCCTGCCTCAATAAAGTTTAATCAACTTACTGCTCATAGACGCAATGAGCGACAGTGATAACCGTTTGAAAGTCCGCCAATAAGGAACCTCCGCACTTATGACTGCCGTCATGACGCAGGCTGACAATGTAGCTGAACTGGTTGACTGGAGTCGTAGTGCCACCTGTTACAAAGCCGGGTTGTAAAATTCACTGCGAAATGTTTTCGGTTTTTTTGCCATCCATAGAATTGCGATTAAGCAACTTTTCATCATTATGAAATATTTAGCTATCAGTTTGTCAATCTTTTTTCTCAAAAGACGTACATATCATGTTCCACGTTGGTGTGCAGTAACTCACCAATGATGCGATGCGCTTTCGGTGATTTTGGCATATTAAAGTTGTTGGAAAAGTCCTCTGATCGAGGAGTGTTCGAAGACGCAAATCCGACCAATTCCGTATCGTCACTAGTCTGCGCTTTCACATCGTAGTCATCTGAAAAGCTGGTTGGATTGCCTATGAAATGTAGAAATAGAAAATGCAAGACGATACTGATTTAGAAGTCTACATTTATGCTTACCGTTACAGCCAATTAAAAAATACCCAAGCATAAAAACAAGCGATTTGGGGGGCATGTTTGAAGCAATTTCTAACAGTTCTGGTTGGCTTAAAAATCGAAACACAAGAAGGGATGAAGAAAACTATGTTAGCGGAATAGAGTATTTTTCTAAAATGGGAAACCCGAGCAACCGAAGCTTTTAAAGCTGCTGTTTTCTGCTTCCTGACGTAATTTCCCACCGGTTGTTTGGTGTGAGTAATATCATTGCAGGCGTCACAAGTCACCGCATCTGAGCTAAAGTACCATTTGCACACAAATTTGCACATACTTAATCAGGAGTTAACATCGTATGCAGTACTATCGCTGCTGGAATCGCTAACTGACGATTCCACTGCCGGGCATCGCAATACTGGCTATCGGTTCAACACCTGCTCTGCGTGTAGGTTTTTGGTTTGAGAAAGCTCCAAAGTTCCCACTTCACCGATCAAACGCGCAATCCCATGTGGACCAACTAAGTTTTTGCCGGTAGTGATAACGGCATGCAGTGTTGTGGAGTGAGAACTGAGAACATCTGTACAAGCGACGTACACCATAAAAGCACCGATGCCCTAAGCAAAAACTGATACCACTTGGCAACGATAGCATTTCTGCGGTACTGGAACAACATTAACAATATACAGCACATAATATCAAACAAGGTGCCGCGGCACATTTCATATTGTTCTCTACATAGTATATAACATTCTCGTTTGCATTAATGGAACACATAATAGGTAGGGCCATATCCATCACCCAGCGCTCCATATCCACTGTATGCGCACCGGTTCCGGTGGTAAACCTGATCGTGATATCTTTTAGTTCTTCTTTCACGCATTCGCGTCGGCAATGGTGAGCTTTATGTCCAACGATTCCGCAAATGGTTCAAGCAGAACAATGCCTAGTATGTGTCCTTGCATTTTACAATAATTACACTGGGTTTCGTCGGTTAGATCGGTTAAAAAATCAGTCCGGATCGATCTAACCTTTCTGACCGATCTAACGATCGGTTAAAAAAGTCAGATCAGTTCCGACTTCCTCTTTCTCTGTGATTAAAGCTAACAGTGTAAAATAGGCCGGTCCAAAAGGTCCTCTGAGATACCCACGATTTTCTTCTTGGCTCTTGATCATTTGGCTTTTCACGTAAGACGGACATCTTCGGATCGGGTCCGCGTGCGGGAATCATGTTCCAAGATTCAATGAAAAGGGACGTATTCAACGGGCAGACTGGATAGTGTTTTTGATTTCAGCCACTCGTCACTGGTTTCCACGGTTTTACCACTGACATCGATCTTCGATGTCGGTACCTGCTGCGCCGATCTGAACATGTTAACGTCGTCGGAATCCTTCCACTTCCCTCCAAAGGACTCGGCCATGGCAGCCATCAAATCGCATCCAGTTTTCGACTTCCTTAACTTCTTGATTCGTTGCAGTTGTTCTGCTAATCTTGCACAATTGCGTACTGCATTAAGAGTGCTTCATCGAGTGTAGCGCGCAATATGCTTCTTGCTTTTCCAAGAAGTATATTGCGAGCCACGCTCGAGGATATCGGCTTTTTAAGCTGCATGTGTCTTTTCATTGGCTGGGTCATCGATCGGCATCGCTTCACTTCCATGATATACACGCTCTTTGCAGTTAAGACGTTCTCCACCTAGACTCTCCACCGGACGTAGTTTGGGCCATTTAACTCCGTGCCCTTTATCTTCTTGAGAGTTACCGTCCTGGTGCCCGAACAGTAACAGCAAAAACAATCACTACAATCACTACATCATCACAAAACAATCACTTTATTCAGAGACACAAGTGTCATAATCTTTTAGAAATTATATTGTGTAGAGAATATAAGTCATGGGAACAGAAACCGGAAGCATCGCACACGCTGAAGTTCTGTTATTCAATGTTATGCGAGCAGGTTGCTTATATAGCACACGATACATTCAAGATAATTTAGTAAGTAGCTGCACGGTCTGCACCTAAACATCTGATAAATAAGGGGACTGGTGATTTGGGTGCGCCGTATACTCAGCGATCAGTTAGGTGATAATAAGTCATAGTTCACCAGTGGATGAAAAATACTCTGAGTGTAATATTACTTTCAGCAATAACCCCTGTTATCGTAACTGAGCAAGTAGCGTGATTCACGAGGTCGCCTTAACGATACTAATTTTAATTTTCAAGGTAGCGCTGCTGAAGGCTATTGCTTGTTCGTTATGGAAGGGTCACAGTGTTGTAATTTGAAAACATGTTGCGATATTTTTTATTACCACATCATAGCAATCGGAAACGTAGCTCAAGCACAAATATCTCGATATTTCAGCCAACAACTGTCCGCTAATAGTAAATACCAACAGTAGGATACAATTAATGTATAGCTCACGACTGTTATTTCTAAAGATACAGATACACGACGGGGACCGAAGGACTTTCTAGACTTATTATGGACTAAGCGGCATAAACTTGTGGATAGCCGCATTTCTTGCCAGACCGTTGGCCAGTGGTGGCGGTATCACCGTTGTCGCATTCGGCATCGCAAAGAAAACTTGAAGGCCTGCTATAGCGTACGGGTCGTAATACGAGCACAAGGCGATTTGCGATATACAGTGCAACGCTGGGGAGACCGTTTCCAGGTCGATATCAGCCATACCCGACCGGTTACCCATCTCGCCACTTTCTGTCCCGTCCGCTTTCTTCAACTTAACGGAAATGAGGGTGTTGAATCGGCTGCTGAATCGCCACCTTACGGATGACAGACATTGATTCGTTCTCGGGTCAAACGACACCATTTTTGGCTCTCCACCAGTGGCTTTTCCAACGATCTTATCCGCTCCTAAAAACAGGAAAAGTAGGCTTAACTTAGCTAAAACGAAAATGGTTCTGCACTGAAATACATAATTAATTTACCATTTTCGTATGTGATCTTCATGGCATCGACCCAGTTGTAGCTGCGCACAAGAACACCGGTTATATTCTTCTTCGCCGCGTCACCCATCACCGGTTCGCATTTGATGTCATACTGATTTATTCCCTTGGTTCGGGGAATGGAATACGTTGGTGGCTGGATTTTCCCAAAAGTCAACGGAGGATACTCCCCGGAAAACGGCCCCACGTCTTCGTAACCGGGGACAAATGTGTGCAGGATGAAGGCTTTGGAAAGCACGCTCATCATGGCCAGTTTTTGCCGATCATAGTATGCCTGCAGCGTGTGTTCACCGGATGCTGTGAAGACCTCGTTGTTACTGCAGAACGTCTGTTCCTGTTCCACCAGTAGCGTATTGGTCAATTTATCGGTTACGGTCATATGACAGTCTTTGCGGAAGAAGGGAGGTATGGCCATCGGTCCGGTAGAGAGCCACTTCTTTAATTCCAGATGATTGAATCTGCCAACCAAAGGTCGCCATCAGAACAATATTGCAATTCTCTTCTGCACTGGTAGAATTTATAGCATTACTCATTGTGAATGTGTTAACCTAATATGTGATTCAGTAGACCGTTCTCTAATCGACGATACTACGGGAAAAATCCAGTGCCACTATGTGCGTTCACCGTGCTCTGTGTGGTACTTAAAGCAGTGTCAGTAGCATTCATTACATGTATCAGTTTAATGAACAATACTACGGGAAGTGTGTTGGTTTGTTATAGGATACTTATAGTCAGTACACTATCCAATATACTTCGACATGCACTGATGACGCTTTGCTTACCTCCAGGCACTCCAGTCCGAATACGCCTTAAACAAAAATGTCCAGTAGGTCGCCAGCCAATTCTCCATTTCGCGTAACCATTGCTCCTTGTCCACTTTGCCCGGGAACATTTGCTCTCCAAACATGTAGCGTTCGCGGAACGCTGCCATATGAACATACGCCAAGTTGACCGCATAGATAAACGTCTGGTTTCTATTAGGACTGTTCTCTAGGTAGGCGAAGATATCTCCGCATCTCCCGAGGATCCCGACCAGCCACTCCCCCTTCTCCACTAAATTGCCGCTGTTCTTGTAGCTCTCCATACGGCTTCGGAGTCCTTGCAAGTCGGCTGTGCGCGAGAACTCTTCAAACTGCTCGATTCTGCTGTCGACGAGGGCTTCTACTTCGTCGCGTATTTGCATCCAAATATTTCTGATTCTTTGGCCAGAAAAACGATACGAGTGCGCCGGTTAACTGGCCGACTACCGGTACGCCAGCCGCCTTACCCAGGGCGCTGATCCCGGTCAGCAGAACGGTGCGCATCGTAACTTCCCAATCAACAGCGCCGCGGACGTGCATGGATCTGAACGGAATTATCGACAAGCGCCGACTTTACATCCCTCATTCCGGTTAAAGCCGACGAGCTAGGATCGCCAGCGGGGTCTTGGGAATGGGGAGGATCTCGGTGCTGGAGAATCAGCTCAACTGTCGCGTTACCATGTTCCGGCCAATCCACATTCGACATCTTCTCTGGATTATACAATTCTGAACTGGTAACGGCGCTAGCTTGTGCATTATTTGCAATCCGGAATACCAGCACGCTAATAAGGAAACCGAGCGTTTCACCTCCACGAAATACCGCCATTTCACCGTCGTCACTGTGAAATATTTATTTTTCAGTTATTTTACCGATAGCAGCATTAAACTGTTTAATGTATCGCATGCAGCAAATAGCAGCGAGACTGCGACAAAGAACAAGGCAATCGACAACTAGGCATTTGTATAGCAATTACATAAATACACGTCCAGATCTGCTAATGATGATAGGCATGCTTCGCGTCATTTCCTCCTGTTAGATAAGGGAACTGTAGGTGTTTCTGAAAATATATGGGTGTGTTTTATCTGATGGCGTTTTACTACTGAGAACCGTATATTTGTGAACGTCGGGTTGCTTGCGATCTTTGGGTCTGTGATAAGATGGCGTCAAGCATACCTCTTTGTTTTAACGTCTCTCTATAGTCTATTCCCATTAAAAAAATACGCGTACAATTAAATTCTTACAACTATGTACTGTAAATTACGACAAATAAAAACATGAAAAATTATAACAAAAGCATGAGCCTGCAAAGGTTAAAGAAATAATCTTAGTCGCTTATTGTAGAATTCTCACGGAACCGGTTGCTTCAGTCAAAGTTTTCGTACGTTGTAGGTATGTCCTGGGTCGTTTTGCATGGAGTGAAATAAACAGTGCAGAATTTCCGACCAGTCCAGTGGCTATCGGTGGCTCTGTGTCTTGGTCTCTTTAATGAATAGGCACAGCAATATGACCTGCATATATATATG